ATGTGCACTAATTAACATATAAGTTGTGCACAATTTTATAGTCAAATTTTTAAAATGTGCACAAAAAAATTTTCCTATGTGCACATGTGCACAAAAATTTTTTTTCAGATTTTATACACTGCTCTGAACTTATTAATTGCATTATATAAATTATTTTTTTTATTTAATGCTAAGGAATTCTTTTGTAAGAAGATCATATTGTTGTCTAGCGCTTAATTGGCCCACAGTAGTATAGTTTTTGATTTTATCTAAAATTAGTTGTGTAAACTTTAAATGTTTTGGAGCAAGTTCAATAGTTTTTGGATCACAAACATATTTATGTTTATTCTCTATATAAGTAATCTTTATAATATTCATGCATTTTCTAAGGTAGAAACAGACTAGTTAGGAACATTTTGATTTACAAGAAACTACATTATGATGTACACTAATATCTTCAACTTTTTTTGGTCGGTTTTCTCCTGATTTCAACAACTATAATCACAATGTCGAATGATAGATTTATCTACCAGGTCAAGGTCTTTATAGAGCTTAATAGCTGCAAAACTATGTTGTTTTGAGTATGCATCAACAGCATGTTGCACTGCATTCTAATCATTGAAAGAGTTTTCAACTTTTAATGTTAACTCAGTTGAGTTATTAAATTACTTTATTAATATTTTCATGATCAAAGGCAGGAGCAGCAACATTGAACTCAGAACTTTTAGAACTAGGTAAAAAGCTAGAACCAGAACTCTCAAAACTAGGCAGAACACCAATAGACCAGAACTCTCAGAGCCAGGCAAAGTACCAACAGACTCAGAACTTTCAAAGCCAAGAAAAATACTAGAAGACACAAAACCAAGAAAAATAATATTGCCCTCAGAATTCTCAGAACAAAGATCAGATAAAATACATTCAAACCCAGAACCCACAGATGGCCAAGAATCTCTTAATTCAGAAATTACATATTCAATAACAACTTGATTTTCCTTTTTCATTTACTGTACAAACATTTAAATGAGAGTTAGTGCTACTTATCTACTATATCAAGTTAAAGAAAAGTCTTTTGTACATAGAAATATATAAACATCAATTAATTTAAAATAAACAATCTATGTTGTCTGATAATAAAGCAAGTCTGGTAGATGTCGTAAATATCGTTGAAGTAAGTTTTCGTTAAAGTAGGTGGCATTAAGATGGCTGTCATTTAAGGTAGATATTAAGGTGAATGTTAAGGTTGATGTATTGGATTGTTCGTTAAAGTAGGTGCCATTAAATCGTTAAAGTAGGTGTCATTAGATCATTAAAGTGGATGTTAGTAAAGTGGTTGCAATCTTAAAAGGAGAGAACTAAAGATATGTAAGTTAAAAGACGATACTTTTTTTTGTTAAAATCAATATCAACATGCTCTAAAATATGTCAAGAGACAAGCGTTAAAGTGGTCTGTGACTGATCAATTTAATAAATATTGATTGATACTTATAATTAAATTTAGTTACACTAATATCATATAACACTAGTAATATTCACCAGTAGTAATAAGTAGTAATTTTAATATTATAATAAATAATTTTAAAAAAATTATTATTTTTTTTTTTGGTGTTCAGGTGGAATCTTGCCCATGACTTTATTTATTGTTAATACTTTTATTATATATATTATTATATTTACGTATTTACATATATCAAATACACTAAGCTCAGACCTAGATCCTATTGGTTACCTATACTCTGGCCGAAACCATCACTTGTGTGATAGGTGTCCCCATCCGCTATCTGGCCACCGATCTATTATCTGCGATCCAAACCTACCGGAGTGATATATCTTTATGGATAGCACTCACCTGGTATTTTTCTACCCTTTACTAGTCCTATTTTGATATACTTCCCTATGATGTCATTCCTCGCATCTCTCATACTACTTATACCTAAGCTTTTAAATTTGGTAGTCCCTTCTAGAATATGGCCTCGTAGTCTTAAGGGCTACTTCCAATCTTGGTTATCTTCAGCTATTTTGCCCAGATAGTATTACGAAGAGAAACTCATACTGGCCCAGGTTAAG